TGATGTTTAGCAATGTCCACTTCTTTAGTGAACCTGTACTTGGCCTCTCTGTAGCAGTCCCTGTCTCCGCTTCTGAACGCCTTTCTCTTTTCCAGCCACAGCTTTTTGAGTTTGGGAGTAAACCAGGGTTTGTCATTGTTATAACTCACCCTGGTGCGTGATGGCACAATGCTGTCCTCACAGAAGTGGATATAGGAGGTGACAGTGTCCGTAAACTCGTCCAAGCTGTTAGAAGCAGCCTTCATTGTGTCCCAGTCTGTAGACTCCAAACACGTGCGAAGCTCCTCCACAGCCTCGTTGCTCCACAGTTTTTTTGTCCTCACGACAGGTTTGGAGAGCTTCAGCCTCTGTCTGTACGCGGGGATTAGGTGGATCATGACGTGGTCAGAAAGTCCGAGTGAAGTGCGGGGCACCGCGCGATAGGCCCCGCTGATCGTGCTGTAGCAGTGGTCTAATGTCCTCTCCTCTCTGGTCGGGCATTTAATATACTGCTTAATATACTGCTTATATTTCGGAAGCTCATGGCTCAGATTGGCTTTGTTATCTACTGAGCCGCAGTTTTCTGGATAGTTGCTGCCAAAGGAGAGTGGCCAGACATCTTTGAGCTACAGTTGCTCAAATAACCACTGAAGGTATGCAGAAGAGCATCTCTGAACGCACAACGTCAAATCTTGAAGCAGACGGGCTGCAGGACAGAAACCACACCGGGTGCCCCTGCTGTCAGCTGAGAGCAGTGTTTAAGAACAAAGAAAAACTGGGAAATTTGCACAAGCTCATCAAAATTGGACAACAGAAGATGAAAAAAAATATACTGACCGGTCTGAGTCTGGGTTTCTGTCACAACATTCAGAATGTAGGGTCAGAATTTGACATGGTACTGTAAGTCGAGGACCAGAAAAGCCTTATTGGATGCTCTCTTTTTAATTCTCTTGGTGCAATCTTCATATTTACACGTTGTATTCAGCACCATGACTCTTATACAATGAACCCGCAGTCTAACTGTTCCAGAGTCAAGCCCAAAGTTATTGTAAGCTTTGAAAGTACATGTGTGCAATTAATCTGTCCTTATACACTCGCCCACCTGCTGTTACCAGGAGGCATTTAGTGCTGGGTTACAGTATCTATCTTCCCCATGATTACATATAAACAGAAGAAGCTAGAGCCTTGTTGATACTGGAATTTTGGAGAGGGTACCAGTTTTCTTTAGAGAGAGAATATTATTTGATTTAAGTAAAAAAATCAGAGAAAAGGATTATGACCGTTTTGCTTTTGAACATTATTTAAACCCAAATAAATGACAAATACAAAAAAAAGACTGAGACTGTGAAATTATCAAAGTACAATTTATGCATCTTTCCATTTATAAGTTTAATTTAATCATATAGTCCATTAAACAGTTTATTATTGTGTGATTCTGTCACCTGCCAGAGGTAGAAATTAAGGAACAAAGCCATCAGTAAAGAGAAGAGAGATGATGACAGCAGAGGAAACAGAGGGGAGAGAAATCTTGTGTTTTGTTAGGCAATACTAGGTTTCACCTCAATAATTCATGATGTGTAATAGGAGGGTCCCACAATCTGTGGAGGGACAAGGGGAGGGTGAAGGTGAAGGCAAGGGAACATGAGTAGGAACAGAGGTAGGAAGGCTACGAGAAGCAACGTAAATGAAAGCGGGGCCGACAGCGTGTCAGAGAAAGTTAAAATGAAGGGTACTGATAATAAATAGAAAGCCAGAGAAAATGTAATAAAAAACAGAAATAAAGTAAAAAAGAAAGTAAATCAGCACATTATAGACATCTGAGAAAGTAGAACAAAAGAAAAGGAGAAACAGAGGGTTAAAAATAGAAAGACAAGGGTTATTATCGCATTATATGGACGTATCAGACCGCAGGATGACTTGTGCTAGAGTATGGTGAGACTGGGCTGCTCCACCAAGAAACTTTCTGTGAGAGCGTCAATGTTGTGACAGAGACCATGAGACGGCACTTTTTAAACACCGTGATGTGTCGCCTAGCAGCACTTGATGAACGTCAGACGCCTTTAACACATTTACCTCAGTGTCGCTCTCAAACTCGGACATTTAAGTGGCATTTAAAGCAGCACGACCTGAGGAGGCTGTTATGTGCAAACACCCTCACCCAGGATCAGGACTGGGCACATTAGAAACTGGGACTGTTGTGGAGGGCCGAACCCTAGGAAAATAAGCCCCCATCCCTGCATTACACAGTCTGATCGGGTAACACTTTTACATAGTTTTTATTTGGTTATTAAAGTCTGGTTAAATACACAGTTTAATAATTAATGCATTTACCTTTTTCTTTTTTAAAAAAAGAAATAATTTAAAGTTGTAAAAAATGTAGCCAAATTTCTCCACTCTCCAAGACAACTCTCTATTTGACTCATCTTACTTGTCATGATTGTAACAAGTTTCTTAACTGCTCATCATTATAACTTCAACCTCTTACAACTTACATAATGGAGATCTGTTATCATTCTGTGGTTCTACTAGAGTTCAAAGAAGTCCCCATTTCTTTCGCTAGGCCTTGGCACAGCACATCACTTATCGTCTGACCAGCTCCTGGTTCGAGAGCCATTTCCACTACCTTTCAGCCACATTTATTCTGATTGGCTGACCCTTGTCAAAAGAAGGCTTGAACAGCAGGTGGGTGGGGCTTGACCGATTGCGATTTATTAAACTTATCAGCAAATAGCTGGTACGTGACATATAATATCATCGTGGTCTTTACTGCGCTCACCTTCATCATACAAAAGAGCAGAAAGGGACTGATTGGAGCGGTCTGAATCAGGGCTTACCTGCACATGCTGAACAGTATTAATTATGCTTCAAGAAAACCAAAACGTGCAAGTACTAACAAGACCTTTTTATCCCCCTATATCCACAAAGACCAAGCAAAACGCAATGTAAATGTAAAAAAATCCTATCATAACACATCTGGTCACCCAAGCTCTTGTGTGCCTGAAGTGTGTCTGCACCACAAGGTTTCACGGTATCATGTGAACTATTAGTGTGGGAGAGGTTTCATGTTTATTGCTTTTGCATGAGAGCTTCAAGAATTGTATATGGAGAGATCAGTAACTTTGTCTTTGTGTGGGTGTGTCTGTATTAGTCTGTGTGCTGGCTGGATTTCAAAAGAACCCCTTCAAGCTCTTCATCTGATGCCTCTACAAAGGGCCCGCCTAGCTGCAGGGGTTAGTGTCTGTGTATATATGTGTGCGTGTGTGTGTGTGCGCGCGTGTGTGTCTGTGTGTGTGTGTGTGCGCGTGTCTTCAAATAGACCACCATCTTTTATTTGAGTTGAGACAAAAGGCCACAGTCGTGCTGCAGAGGACCTAGAGTTATTGTCGCTCTAAAGGTGACACCTTTAGACATCTACACACAGTAGATGTTCACGTTACACTTATTGTGAGCGTACATACAAAACACACCCTGTAGTTAAGGTAAATCAACTATGAACACCATCTGACGCTTCATGTTCCAAATATGTTACTTTAACTTGATATGATTGAATTAACGATACAGAAGTGTGCATAATAGTAGTTATTACAGCTCAGTTACATTTGCACTATTACTGCTGGCATAAATTAAACACTTCAACCATTTAGGAGGTTGGGAAAAAAAAGAAAACTCGCCTGGCTGGGAATCACTGATGAATAGAGTGTCAACACAAAACAGAGCACAGTCCCAAGAGCCATGAAAGGCATAACAGCAAGAGTACACTTAATCTTAAAATCTTCATGCTTATTTAGTTGTTTTCCCATTCTTCCACAACACACGTATACCTAACACCCAGTCGACAGGAAAAACCACTGATTGGAAGACAAAGGGCTGAGAAAAAGGCTTCAAATAAAGGACAAAGGCATAAAGGGTAAAGCTAGGGACAGGGTTGAGAAATGTGGCATCAAGATTCAAACAAACAGGAAGCGTCACGTTCTGAGGGACTTCGCATACCAGCAAGACAAAGAAAACAATCTAGCCAAGTCATTTTTAAAAAATATTTTTATTATGTAATAGGCCATTTTCTAAAATTTCTAAAGTCTCTGTGCGACCCATGTGCCTCTCAGCGGGCCTCTGTGTCACAAACCGCCTTCGCTCACACAACACTAGCAGGATATCCTGTCAAAGGTCGCTACCAGCTGCTCGTAGCAACTCTCAGCAGCAGCCAGCCAATCTCTTTCAAGGCAGTTATGCCGCTAACACCAAGCTGACTTTTGCATTTATGAGTTTACATGTGCCACTCAATATACCATCTCTGTGTTTTTTTAAACATAAATCTACACACACAAGAAAAGAAATGAGCATGGAGCTATGATGCACCACCAAACACAGAACAAACATAGCCTAAGTATAGCGCTCGGAGCAGAGCAAGCTGGCAAATTAAGGTACACAAGTGAATCAGAAACAATTAGAGGTACTTGGATGATATTCTGTAAAACCAAGTAATAAAAACACGGAAATTATTAGTGATGAGGAGACAAAAAAAACAGAGACAGAGAAATAGAAAAAAAAATCTAAGGCAAAATTAGGCTCCAAAGCACAAAACTAATCCTTAATGTCTATCGTGAGGGAACATTCATATTGCCAAGTAATTACTTTCCAATGCAGCAGATTTATCAGCTGTGTAAGCATACACTTTCTTTAGCCAATCCAAAATCATAAACTACTGACACCACATTTCCATCCCACCAAATTACGAGGCCACAAGGCTCAGCTGTCTTTAAACTCGTCCGTTCTTTGACAGCGCAATTCTTCTTTGGTTTGCTGGAGGAAAACCCACGAAAGTTCCCTGTTCTTGGAACAGACATACCAAGACTTTTACCACTCCAGACGGCAAACATCCTACCGCACAATGGCCGTGCTTAAGGAGGTGGCACACTGGAGATTAAAGGAGGCAGGGGAGCACACGGAGCCACACCCTGAGGCCTACTGCATCCTGTGTAGCCTTTTAAAGAGTGAAAAGTACTGAAGACTTGAGGACTCACCCGCAAGACATCCACCAGTACTCTTAGCTTTCTTCCCAATCAACCTGCTTCTTGTGCATGCGACTACAATAACAGGATGGAGAGGGCGACTTCGGTGTGACAATCTGCCTCCAAGTAAAGTGACTTCAGCATCACAAGCCACAAACAAAAAGTTCACCACGGTCTGTGCAGTGCTTCGCCTGAGGCAAAAGAACAACCGACAGAGTGCTGAGACAGAAGGAGGAAGTAGAGGAAGTAGGCGTTTTTCGAGTGAGGAGGAAACAGGTCTGTCTGTTAAAGAAAAAAAAAGCGGTAAATTCAAAGATAAGACGACAACAGCCGAGAAAACTTAAAGCTCACATGCAAGGAAAGACAAACAATGCATCTGTTTCAAGCCTAGGAATTAAAAACACACTCAGTGAGGTGACTGGATTACTTAAGGGTAATTATAGCTTATGAATATGCCATCAGTGCCCCCCTACTCCAGCTCCACTGTGTTAGTCTAAACTGTTGAAGCCTTAATAGCCATCTACAAGCACAACAAATTAAGCCCAAGACTTATTCTGTGTGTATATGTCAGAGTAGACAGCTAACCTATCAGTGACATTTAGCACGCCAAAAATAAAGAGCAAGGTTCGCCCTTGTTCAAGAGCCAAGCTGCTGCTACATCTAAAATGTTGGCATTAAAACATGGGCTGAGAGTAACGATGAATTCATGTATGGATTCAGATATCATCAACCAGTGCAGCTCACACTTTCACTTCCACCTCTCGCTCCCCCTAATTACCACAGTCTGCAACAACAGAGTGACTCAGATGTTTTATACTGTCACAAAAGATCGCTGATCATCAGGCCAAACGCCTAAATTAAACATTTACAGCTTGTGCAAGACGATGACATCTTCATCTCCAGCTGAGAGCTCAACAGGCCATCTGTGCAAGCGACACATACAAAAAACAGATGTTTGCTCCACCCAGGCTGAGGTCAACTTTGGTTAGAGTCAGCCCCATAAATACAAACAGTCGGGACTCTCGGTTCTTCCAGGGAGCCTCCGAAAGGCGAGCGCCCAAGCGGGAAAACATTTCAGCTCAGCCACAGCGGTGAAAACAAAACATGCCAATTGAAATATATCATATCCTCATTTAAGTCTTTCATGTTCCAAGACACGGAAATATGACCAAGATGACAGGCCTGCATGCGAAATGAGCGGTCATGTGATCGGCCGTGCCGTCAGAGCCTAACTTGGAAACTATCCTGACCTGAGGAAGTGAAAATATTTAGAGGACCTATGTCCTGGCTATAGAGCTAAGAATATCTGGGATATACTCCGACTGTCAGCAAACTGTGACAGAGGGACGAAAGCTAGCAAAGAGAGAAGCACGCCAGAGCTTTATTAATCTGTCCAAACTATCTAAACTCCTCCTTGAATGTCCTGACTTTGTAGTCGCTTTAAGCCCTCATGATTCATCCAGGATGCTACGACATATCTGTCGAGGTTGGCGAACGTGACATTTCTTCCATGTCACCATCTGCTGACTAAAACTCAAAAACTGCACAACACTACTGAAGAAATTACACCACCCCATTCTTTCAGAGTTAAAAGTCTTATGATCTGAAGTCAAACTCTAACGAGCTCATTTTGGCATATTTCCACAAATGCAGTTAATATGCATATCCCTCTTCCAAAATGGAACAAAAAGTCCAAACCTACACAACCTCAAAAAAAGGAAGAAAAAAAGAAAGAAAAAAAACCCACAACGAGGTGGAAATATTTATGCTCGGACCTTTCTGAGCATGTGGACAGACAGCATTTCAGTAAACTATTTTGTGCAAGTGTTTTGAGACGTTTACGTAATGATGAACAAGAATTTAAGCCGCCCGTAAATGTTCCTCGTTAACAGAACAGAAAAGGCGCTAAATGGTACCACCCAAAATTTAAGCATGTAAGTGACGAGGGGGTCGATACTCAAAACTCTTGATTGACCTGCTGCAATGTTTACACATACATATTTTTTTTTTGGTTAGTTGATTTTATGATCTCTGTGTTAGATCTGAAATGTGTCGAGTTTATCCAAAAGCAGCAGACTGACTGAAGCAGTCTCCTCTGTTTGTGGCTCTAGTCTTGGGCCATTCAGCCTTAGCTGGTTTTTTAAAAGAATTTCAAAAGCCAAAAGCTTTTGAAATTCTTTTAAAAAGTGGTCTTGAGCAATAGTTCTGCAGACTTTCAAAAAGCCTTTTTTACTCACTTTCCTACCAGAGCATTGTCAGTTTAATGTTGTGAGGTTGTTTTTTTTTGTTTGTCTTTTAAATTAAGCCACTTAACACTGAAGCACATCAGAGCACATAACTCCACGGGATGAGCTAGTTTTGTGTCTATCTTTGGGGACTTTTGTAACTAGCAGCCTATCACATACATTTATTTCCCCCCCACTTTTTTACCTGAATTTACTAACAGTCTCAAAAATAACAATGTTTCACAGGCATAAAATAGTATTTTAACACCAAAAAGGTGATTCCCTATTATTATTAAAAAGCTTGTACACTTAAAAAACTTGTATGTTTTTTGGATGGTTTGCCGAGCGCCCTCAATAATTTTGAGGAAGCTGGACAAACAGAGGACAAAAGAAGAAGTAACTATAAATAACTGTTTATACCAGACGAACAGTAGCTGAAAATTAAAAAATAGGGGAAAATCCAGTGAAGACCTGACACCGGATACATGTGGCCCTTCAGTTGATCTGTGCACTGAAGCCTCATCAGAAATAGTGTCAGGGGAAGGGTGACTGTCAAAGAAGGGAAACAGGCAGAAAATGATGAGGTATGCTAAATTACACAAGAACTGAACTGAAAATCAACAGCAACAAGTCTTATGGAGTAATGAAACCAAGTTTGAACTGTCTGATTCAAATTGTCACTGGTATATATGGAGGTGATGAAGAGTTTACATGCATGACAATGATCCCAAACACACAGAGACTGCAGAAAAAGCATAGCTGGATATAAAAACACACACTGAAACACTATCGGTCATGGATTGGTCTCCCCAGAGCCCCGACCTCAACATTATTTAAGCAGTGTGGGATCATCAGAATGGAGAACAGAACAAAAAGCAGCCAGCATCCAAAGAAAAGCTTTGACTGTCCTTCATGAAGCCTGGAGAACTATGGACTAGACTTTTGCAGAGTACTGTGAGAGCTTAAAATCAGCTATTACTCAGCGGAAAAACAAAGAATTTGGCATATTAGAATACTAATAATTTAAAGCTGATTGTTTCATTTACCAGCTATGCTGACCTATTTCTGAAAAGTAAACAGAAGTTTTCACATACATAGCAGCAAGATGTTGATTAACAACAACACATGGGCAAATATTCAAAACAAGTGTTACTGTTTATAAAATTCAGGAGCTGGATATCAGTCAGCAGCTCTATGACCATGGCCTAGATAACCACTGTTTGCGAGGAATGTGAGCTTGTGGATGCACTTCTTTCTACATGGTTGTAGATCAAAGCGTTAACTGAAAATTTAAAGCAAATGCAGGTTTTAAATAAAGTCAGGCAGGTGCTGACGTCATCCAATTGACTGGTGTTTCAAAAGCTTCTTTTCTTATTCACAGACTTTCTCTTTTTTAAACATAAAATGAATCGGCACATTCCCACATTGTGCTTGCAGAGGAGGTTGTCAGGCCAAGATAATTCCATAACACTTCGGGGGTTCATCTATTATTCAAAGCCACATCCACACTTATTCCACTTAAGAAGAGTAACACGTTTCACTTGCATGATCAAACTACAGCCGTAAATGAACACAAGCTATTAGCCTGCAAAAAAAAAAAAAAAGAAAAAGAAAAGAGGAAAGTCCTGGGGTTTGAACGGGGCACTGAGAAAGACAGACTTCCTGCTTTAGACTCTAAACTAGATAAAATGCAAAGAGAGATAACCTGTAATGGAGTTATCGTGCACCAGTAGACCATTCTTACTGGACAAAGAAATGAATTACATCTTGCCAGTCCTTATCATCATTAACAATGCTCCATGCATGCATATGCTAGGTCTGTAAACCATCAAGATAAACAATAATCTACAGTTACGCGATGACAGCGTCAATCAAAGTAATGTTATTAGAACACAAAAATATAGTCGTCATTATTTTTCTACAAATGACGCTTTTAAAGCAGTGTGTCATCAACCGATTAGACCACAGAGAATATTGAGGGTGGAGATGAGACGGAGACAGACGATCTGCTGTGGTGGTGACCCCTAAAGTGACCCGCCAGAAAAAGAAGCAGAAGCAGAAACAGCAACAGTCTGCAAAACCACAGAAGCAAAATTAATAGGAACAAAATTTTCGACAGCAGCTCCTTAATTGGTCCAAACGCAACTGGGCGTATTTTAATGCAGAAAATGTCAAATGTAAATACAGTGTTTTAGCTGAGTTTCACTGCCAAGTTTTGTGCAAGTATCCACTTATTATCTTATGAATAACAATGACTGGAACATCGTTGCACACGCTAATGTGCTGCTGACTCCTTGCTTGTCTGACAGTAGTAATAGCACACAGGTTCAGGGGCAATTGACTAAACCTGTGTGTGCAGCACACCAGACAGGTGTACTGTAAACCCAAATAATCTAAATACCAATTAAAAGTGGTTTTTGTTTGTTTGTTTGTTTTTTCCTAATTCAGTCTAAGTGTGTGCATCTTGGTCCTGTGATAGATGAGTGATAAGTCCAGGGTGTACTCTGCCTTGATAGAACAGCTGGAATAGTCTCCAGCCTTCCTGCAACCCTGGACCGCATAAGTGGAAGGAAATGGATGGATGGATGGATGTCTTGTGTCAGTAATGTGTAGTCAGGAAAGCATTCAGCTCTTTTATCTAAACACAGTCAGGCTGAGAAAAATATGCATGCAAGCACTTACTGCACTTAATATGATCAAGAAAGACAGGAAGAAGATGTTTGTCTGCTAGAGTCTGCACTTATCTATTAATATTGCAGCGTGCATGTCAAGGAAGCTCAGAGCTTGCAGTTCATAATTATGCCTGTTCTGTTTTCATGACTGTTTTATGTTTGTTCCATTATGCTTACAGTTTATTTTCTCAGGCTTTATTTATTCCCTTTATGTGAAGAAAGTGAGCAGTGACACCATTGTGCATTGGGGTTTTTGATTATCGGCGTGTTGACACAGATAAGAGTCTTATGCGACTGAAATGGA